CAGGTCCACCATTAATATCGTTTGGGGAAGAGTTGTTAAATGACCTAGTCAGAGGGTTTCCCTGGAATTTTCTAGTTGGTCTGGTGAGAAAGGGTCCTCTTTCCTCTTTGGAGGAAATTAGGGATGTAGCTGCTCAGAATGTGAGTTTTCTTCGACCAGCCAGCCTGAGAAAACTGGGAGAGGGACTTGAAGGATGGAGTCTCTGGCTCCAGGTATGCCTGAGGCCAGCCTCACCCCTACCTCTCCAGTTACTTAACCTTAGAAATCCTTTTGCTTAAGCAGTTCTAGGTCACTCTTGTGTTATCACAAACCCCGTTCACATGTCTCTGAATTATTTTGAATTACTATCAGGGAGTCGACAAACACAGATCAGCACAGTATGACTGGGACTAGGTAGCCACAAAAAATCAAAACAACAAAAGGAGAGAGCCGCTTGCTGACTCTAAACAAGGGTTGTGACTCCTCGCCATTTCTAGAAATTGATGAAGTCATAAAAGGGCCCAAATTTTAAATGAGGGAGGGCTCAGCAGTCCTATTACCTAATGCTACATCATTACAAAGAGCGACTTCTGACCAGTCACACCCCATTCATAATTTTCTGCAGTTCTTAATAAAAATTACATGTCTGTGTGAAGCTCTCCAATGCCCAAAGTTTTGCTAACATTCAAATGCCCCAAAAGTCGTTCCTTCTCAGGAAAGGCAGCCTATAGGGTAATTTTCTCACCCCTCACTGGGGCACTCTGGGCTTCCAGAACTGGGCTTGGCCTTGGCGGGAACTTCATTTCTCACAGTGCTCCAAAATGTCCATTTTGCCCTGCTCATGCTGGTCTCTTCCTCCTTCACACGGGTCAGGCCCAGTCCTTCTACTTTTGTTCAAGCTACTCACCCTGCACCCTTCCTCCCACCTGTGTTCTTACTCATCTTTCCCTCTTTCCAAAAAAAAAAAAAAAAATGGCTGTATGTCGAATATGGTCCCGAGTGCTGGGTACAACAGACTCATAGCACACTGTGCTTGTTCCTCAGAATGTGACTGTATTTAGAGACAGGACCTTTAAAGAGGTAATTAAAGTAAAATAAGGTCAGTGGAGTGGGCTCTAATCCAATTTCTAATCCAATCTGACCGGTGCCCCTATAAGAAGAGGAGATTAGGACACAGATGTGCACCGAGGGGAAATAGCATCTGTAAGCCGAGGAGAAACCAAGCCTATCAACAGCTCGATCTGGGACTTCTACCCTCCACTGCTGTGAGGGAATAGGCCAGTTTGGTATTTTGTTATGACAGCTGCTGCAGACTAATCCAAGGGGCTTATGGTCTGGGGAGGGAGATGAGAAGGAAGAGAAGTGAGAACTATGCAGTCTGGTGAGTGTGGTGACAGACACATAGGATGTGGCTGCATGGGCCCCTGTGGTGGGGGACAAGAGGGAGTGTTAGGAAATTTCCCATGGGGAAGTTATTCCGAGTTCTAAAGGTCATGAGAAATGCCCGTGTCTGGGAGGGTTCAGGGGAAGCAGAGGCGAGCCCTCAGGCACTGTGGTGTCTTGCTGTGTGTGCTGTCACCACCCAGCTCTCTACCTGAGCCACAGGCAGTTCCAGCAGAGGTGATTGGGCAGCTTAGTGACTGAGACCCTCCAGTCTCGAAATAAAAAATAAAAAACGAGGAAGGGAATGTAGCTCCGTAAAAGGCCTTGGGTTCAATCCACTGTACAAAAAGGAAAAATAAAGATAATAATGGTTTGTTTAAGTTAGGATTAAAAAAAGCCCACAGACTACCAATAGTAATAAAAATATTCTTTTTCTTCTTTTGGGATTTGTAACTTGGGTTTTTATTTTTATTTATTGTTTTTCTTTCACCTCTTTTTTATTAGTGTGTATCAGTTATATAGACCAGTGGGTTTCATTTTGGCAAATTTGTACATGTGCATAACATACATTGATAATTTTACCTCCTGTACTCCCCTTGCCCCATTTCCCCACTAGTTTCACATTTTTGAGGGGTTTTGGTGCATATAGGATATTTTGATCATATCACTCCCCCTATTGCCTGCCCTCACCCCCCTCTCTCTCCCTCTTATGCCTTTCCTCTTGTCTAATGATAGTCCCCCTTCTACGTTCAGGTCTTCTTTTTAAAAATTTAACATATTAGGAAAAGCATGCAATATTTGTTTGAGTCTGGTTTATTTTGCTCAGCATGATGATCTCCAGATCCATCCATTTTTCTGCAAATGACAAAATTTTGTTCTTCATTATGACTGAATAATATTCCATTGTATACACATACCACATTTTCCTTATCCATTCATCTGTTGATGGGACCTAGGTTGATTGCATATCTTGGCTATTGTGAATTGTGCCACAATAAACATGGGTATAAAGATGATCCTATAGTATGCTGATTTTAATTCTTCTTCCTCCTTCTCTTCTTCCTCCTTTTTCCTCTTCATGCTGGGGATCAAATCCAGAGCCTCATACATGCTAGGCAAGTTCTCTACAACTGAGCTGTGTTTGGGTAAAACAAATCAGCACTACTTTCCAATGATGCCATTCAGCTTCCTTGGTACCAGTCCCATGGCTTGGTGCCAATTCAATTGGCATTCCAGGAAATTGGACTCAAACACAGAGACTTCTTTAGATGACAAATACCATGGTGGGAATAACAACTAGAAATCTAAAACCTGTCTCGTACCATACCTAGACCGGAGACTCCTGTCTGTAACAAAACAACACTTGGTACTGCTATGGCTTGGGTGTGGTTTGTCTCCTATGGTTCATATGTTGGAAGCTTGGTCCTTGAAATAGGGCTTGGTGGGAGATCCCTAGGTAAATGGCCCTTGGAAGGGATTAAGGAAGCTTTCATGGGGCCCTGAGCTCTTTTGAGAATGAGTTGTAATAAGAGTGAGCACAAACCTTTAATCACTCTCTGGCTTCCTGTTTGGTCATATGATTGCTTCTTCTTAAACATGCTGTGGTCATTGTGATACCATTTGCCGTGGAGCCCTCCACAGAGCCAGTGCTACGCAGTTTGAACTTTCAGGTCACAAAACTGAGACATAAATAATCCTTCTTCCTGGACCGGGGATTTAGCTCAGTGGTTCTGGCGCCTGCCTTGAAAGCTCAAGGACCTGAGTTCGATCCCTGGTACCAAAAAAAAAAGTGACAATAATCCTTCTTCCTTTATTAAGTAGTCTGGAGGGCCAGGGATTTAGCTCAGTGGTTTCACTACCTGCCGTGCAAGCTCAAGGACCTGAGTTCGATCCCTGGTACCAAAAAAAAAAAAAAAAAAAAGAATAAAGTAGCCTGCCTTAGGTATTTCATTATAGTAACAGAAAAAAAGAGAATAATACAGATATCTATTGTGGGATTTTGCTTTTGTAACCAACTTTCACAGTAATAGAACTTAAGAAAGAACTGGTGAATAGATGGAGTATATAGTTAGAGGCTGTCTTACTTTTATAAGCCTTAGTTTTAAAAAGCACAGTGAAATTCACAAAACCCTGGGTGCAACTGGACAAAAATTCCTAAAATAAAAAAGTGCTTAAATTGTGTTTGAAGATCTACTTAGGACAGTTTGAAACTGGATTTTCAGCAATGGACATGCACAGAGGGGACCAATTCAGCCAGTCAGTGACCTTTTGATGTGTACAAAATCAAAACTCCCTGTGCACAACATGTAACTCCTCCTGAAAAAAAACATGCAGCCTGTGAAGAGGCTTAATGACTGTCTACATCTGTCCAAAAGACCCCTAAAATTTCCCCTTCTCACTATCCAGCCGAAAGCAGCTTCTCCCTTCTCCTATCCTATAAATTCTCTCGATAACAACTGCCTGGGGAAGCAAATCTGAGCTTTTTCCCACCTTCTGACCTTCTTACCAGTTGACCCTGTGAGAAAAAGCGCTTTCTTTTTGCAAAACCTGAGTTCCACAGCATTGCCTTTCGTGTGCACTGAGCAGAAGGTCCTTGCTTGGGATCAGTAGCTTATAGACCCAGGCCCAAGTAATTATCATTTAGATCTACTCGATGATTTCTGTACTAAAAGCATCATTGCTCAGTCCTGAATTATACTTGGTAAAGTATGCAGCACCACTTCATGACTCCTTAGGAGTATTTTGGCCAAAGGCAGATGACTGATGCCCCCTAAAACCTGGAACTGGATTTGTAGTACGAAAGCTTACTGACTCTTACCTGCAAATGAAACAGGGATCTGCATCTTGGTAAATGAATGCTTGCCTACAGGAAAGGCCCTCATATCATTTATGGTCTATTTGGCTTATAAAGCTCTCTTTTTGGAAAAAGAGACCTTTAGATAATGTGACTCAAGAATGAGAAAAATTGGGGCTGGGAGTGTAGTGTGGTGATATACCACTTGCCATGGGTTCAATCCCCAGCAGCACAAAAAGAAAAAATAAGAAAGAATGAGAACAATTGGGCCTTGATCTGAGTTCAAATTTAGCTATTCAAAAGGAATCTTGAACTGTCTCTGTTTCCTGTGCTTCTTCATTTCTTCATTGTCCACTTTACCTAAATCTAAAGAATAAGGAAATCCTACATGGCATGGGTCAGAGACTAGCAGGCAATGCCAGGAACTTGGCAATGTCACACGGTCATAGGAAACTTTGTCCAGAGAGTTCATAGAACAGGATAGGTGGTGGATGGCGACAGAATGTTTTAGATGCCACAGAGAACTCTCAAAGTGGCCATAGGCCACCCTAGAAGAATGTTGCACTTGCATTCCCATGGATCTCTCTAGAATCTCTAGCATTACCCAAAGGACCTGAGAAACAAACCCAGAGACCAGATTAGGTAACCTACCTAATAACCCATGGCTGGCTCTGCAGGCTCTGAACACTGGGAATGGACTTAGTCTCTTTGTTTGACTTGAGTAAACTTGGTTCTTAGTATAGAAATGAACTACAAACCCTGACCACAATCTATTTTCCTACTATTTGTCTATGTCTCAGTATTCAAATATTTGACCTCCTATGAGTGGCAAGCTTCCCTTCAACCAACCACATGCTATAATCTCTGAACTGCATTTAGATCAGCCTGGATTATTTTATTATCATCAAATCCAAATTGTATGGAATAATGGCCTTCTTTTCCCTTGGTCTAAACAGGAGACTGAAAGAGAAAAACCTGAGATTGAAAAAGTGAAAATCACCTCAAGCTGACAAAGGAAAAAGCAGCTCTACTTTTCATCAGGCTGGGAGGACAAGGCAGGTAAATAAAGCCAGCTGCTCAGGAAATGAAAACCTCCCTTCCCCTAGAGCTGCAAAGTGGTAAAATAACTCTTGGGGTGGTTATGGATTTGTACCAGTGATACTCCCAGAATCACCTTGCTGTTTTCCTTTGCTCCTGGGGCACCCCATGGCTAAACCCACCCCCATCATGACAGCAGCAGCTGCTCCCTAGTTAGCCTCTGCCTCTCCTAATCCTGCCCTCAGAAACAGCCCCTTTCCCTCGGAGTCCTTCAGTGGGATGCAAAGCCGAGGGAAGATGCTTCCCTCCTTCCTCTTCTCTTCTCCAGTTCCCTCCCTTCCCCAGGTGGTACAGGGATAGGGCGGCAATATTGCCTGAGGGAGGGGGGAGCTGGCCCCAGGGTGGGGGTGCTTGCAGTTTGTGGGAATGTCAGGAGGTAATACAGCGGTTCATACTTGTATCTTCCCTTTTCATCTTCCTATAAATGCTCTCCCCATTTTTGATTACTTCTTATACATTTATAGACCTTCACATTTCTGCTATCCAAAAATTCATCATCTTTGTATCTATGATGCTTTGTAACTTTTTCCTTTCTTGGAGGAAAAACCTCTTATCCATGACTCACATTTCTCACAAAGCTTCCCAGACCCTCTTCTTATCCATTACTTGGCTATGACGATTGTCCTTCGCATTTTTTTCTAGCTTTGTTTCCTCCATCCATGGCTTCCATTTAAGCTTCCAGACAGTCAGAAATCTATTTGGAGTGTAAAACCTGCTTTGGCTTCTTCCTTTCCTTAGCCACATTTATTTTAACACATTTAAAAATATTTCTTGCCATTCTGTGCCTCCATGAAAACAGATCTAAATTTCCTTCCTTGTCCCTCCCTGCCAGAATTTTTCTGTCCTAATCCATAGCACTACTGAGCTCCATGATTGAAGTGGATCCATTGAGGGCTTTTGAGACCTTTGTTTCCACTCTTACTACAGAAGTGCAGCTACAACGTCTTCTCTGATAACATTTTACAACCTCCAGCCTTTCTTGTAATTATATTTTAATTAATTAATTAATTTTGTAGTACTGGGGATCAAACCCAGGACCTTTGAACATAATGCACTTTTTTTGTGTGGTACCAGGGATCGAACTCAGGACCTTGTGCTTGCAAGGCAGGTGGTGGAACCACTGAGCTAAATCTCGGCCCCATCATGCACTTTTGATTCATGGTTGGTACATGTGTGTGTGTGTGTGTGTGTGTGTGAGACACAATCACAATAAAACTCACTGTTTCCCAAGATCCCTCTCCTTTCCCCAGAGAACTGTGGAAACTGCAGCCTCCACCTGCCCCTGGGCTGCATCCCAATAGCAGAGCAGGGCAGAAGCTCAGAGCTGCTCTCGAAGATGCCAGACTGTGCCTGGTGTCTCTGGTGGGGGACGGTCACCCACAGCCACCCTGCTCGAGCCCCCAGTCGCAGGCCTCTCTGCTGCAAAGACTGTAGTTCTGGGGACCCACCTTGCTGAGAGCCTCCTGAAGGCTGGCCAGGCTAAATTAGCACAGCTGGGCCACAGCCACGTGCCTCTGGGAGCCCCAACAATCCAGGTGCTATGCAGGGACGGGCAGGACCATAGATTCTCTCTGGAAGTGAACTGGAAGGATCAAAGTCATGCCCTCCCCGAGTGATGGTAAGGGAATATTCTTCCTCGGCCCACTGCCTGCCAGGGTTCTCTATATCAACTTGACAACTTCACAACCCAGTGCAAAGCACTCCCAGCCCAGAGGCAGCTCCCGGCACTCTGTAAACCCACCAGCCAGTGTCTGCAGGGGCCTCTCCTCTCTGTAGATTCTGCCTCCCCCACTCCCCTTTTTGACAGTGCATCTGAGATTTGAGTGCTGTGTTCTCACACAGTGATCTCAGGCTTTCGCTTCCGGGAAGTCAATTTAAGGTTATTTTTAGCCAGATTACTTTCATGAAGATTCCTTTATAATTCCCCTCGAGTATCACTCTATATAGAAGAAATGTATGTACTGTATAGACTGAATACTGAAGAAAATGGGAGGGGGAGTTGTCAATATTCTTACACTTCATAAATAGGATTTTCCCCTTCAAGACTTTTATCTCTAACTATGCTCTTAAACCCCAGGGTTCAGTGCATGTACAGTGAGCAGAAGCAGTAATTCTCCAGGAAGTGACAATGTGCTGTTCAAGCCGCTCTGCAGCAAACCCAGAACACTTCCCAGGGCCACAGGATCTGGGCTGCCAGATCTTGTCCTGGGCATGGGGCGAGGTCTCTGGCGAACTGCCTGGAGATCACGTGCTCTTCTCAGGTCACGATGGGGTCAGCTGGGCACAGACTAAACTTCTCTGTTTCACGTGCTTTGGGGGAAAGTCCAGACAGGTGGAAAACTAGTATTCTTAATTAACTTTACGATAATGAAGCTTGCATTTTATTTTATTTCATTTTTTTTATCCTTTTATTGGTACATTTTAGGTGTACAATATAATGATATTCATCATTGGAAATTTGCATCTTTACATAATCTCTCTTGGTTCTTGTTTATCCCCCTTCCCCTGCCCTCCCTTCAACTCCTCCACCCTCCCTATTTACAAAGACTTTGTTTCCATTTTTTCATTTTCTCATATTAATTCCATTCCCTTCTTTCCTTTCCCCTACCCCTCCCAC